TTTCTCAACTTGGTGGCCATCTGTTCCTTTTCCAGGTCAGCTCACAGGATTTTAACTCTCCCCAGAGACTGTAGATTGGGGGAACCCACTGGAGCCAGTCCTCCTCCTGATCCATGCATCCCTTCCTGCCTCCACTGGGGTCCCTGGCTCCCTGTGAACTCTCCCAGTATGATTAACTTTGGATGGGTGCCCTGGGAGTGGTGGGGACCTCACTGCCATGGCCATCATGAGCATGACTGTGAAACCACCTTTGTGTGTCCATCAGGAAGGACAGGCAAGTGGAGGGATCCTTGTCACTGCTTAAGGAGGGGAAACCCAACTCCAAGGAGCTTCTCAAAGTATCCTCTTAAATCAGGAAGGCCTGAAGACCTTGGCGCCTATGGTAGGAAGTAACACTTACTTCTCCCTAGATACTAGTCCACATTCTTTAGCCTAAATCTGGTCTTAGGTGACATTTGAGGATTGAGTGGGCATCATGACTAGTGATGTCAAGCCTTCAAATTATCCAAAAGGCATTATGTTCCTCCTTGGCAACCCTGAAATGGCCTAGAAGCCTCCAGAGGTTTTACATTACATATAGGCTGATCTAATTGTTGGCTGCTGTCCAAAATCACAGTCCTGCCTTCTGCCCAGGTCCTTGGGAGCCTCCTCCCTCTTTGCCCCTTCCCTGACAGCATCTGACATTCGCCTGACCCCTGGCTGAGCTAAACCTGCAGAAATCTACCTGGTTTTGGTACTTTTGTACAGCTATCCATGGGTGGATGACTTTCCTGGGTGCTGGTGGCAGAGGAGTCATGGGAAAATGAAGCAGGAGAGGGATAGAAAGGTGGGCCATCCCCTTTGGTGTCAGTCCACCCACCTGAATTTCTATATCCAGAACTTCTGTGTAAGTCAGGTGCTTAATCTGGTGTTATATACAACAGTGAGGTAGTCAGCACAGTTATGTGAGACTAGGGAGCAATGTTGCTAATCGAATGCAGGTGCCTACTGTTGAGATGAGCCAGGCGGCCCTCCAGACCTCTCCTGACTGGCCCTTGTTGTCTGCCACAGGAGCACAGATACCTGCCATTCACATAGATGCCTTTGCACTGACCACGAAAGACACATCTGTATGAATCTTCAGCTAAATCCCACCTTGGTGTCCCTCTGCCTTCAGAGCATGGTCCAGGCAGCATTTTCTGAGCACCTCTTGCACATATTGAGATCACAGGATAAAGCCTCCATCCCAGAGGTCACAGCCATATCCACTTAAAAACGTGAGTGCTGCCACCTCATTTACCTAGGAGTCCTGCATCTAGAGCATGCATTACAGAAACCAGAATTAGGCACCTTAAAATGGAGTTTGACTCCATCACACATGATTAAACATAAAGCATCCTTGATGACATTCAGGAGGCACAGGAGATAAGAGCAGATCAGTGGGAATCTGACTTTTTTTTTTGCCTAAAGTGCCACAGAAGGCATCTCTGGGATCTTGTTTCCTTGGTTTGTGTGATGGGTTGACGCTGGTCAGCAGTCAGACCCTCACTAACTTGCTCATCCACTCCCTCTCCTCAGGACGGCAGAGGGAGAAAACTGCACGAAATAGCTCATGGGTTGAGATAGAGAGAGAGAGATCACTTACCAGTTACTGTCACAGGAAAAATAGACTCACCTTTGGGAAAATTCATTTAATTTATTGATACTTAAAACACATCTGGATGTTTACCCAAAGTCTCCAGGGTGGTAGTTGCAAGCCCACAGTCCCAGAATGTCTCTGATGCACTCAGGAGACAAGACATTTAATGGCCGTACTGCTTTAGCATCACTCCTGTGTGTCCTGGGTATTGCAGCTACATATTAAAGGCTGTGCAGGTACACCTAGAGTCTGTGGGAATTACTTCTGTATTTGTGTTCTTGTAGTCCTCTGCCTTGATGCCAAAGAAATTGGGTACTAGCACCTGGTTGTGAGTCTGCTGGTCTCCAATTACCTGGCTTGATTGTTACTGATGCTACTAGATATCTTCATTGTCATCTTCATCTTCATCTTCATCTTCATCCAACCTACATTGGTTACAGGTCCCTCGTTTTGCCACACTGTCAGTATGCTCAGATCAGATGGTTTCATGTCAGTTACCAACAGCAAACTACCTCGCAGGTTTTGAAAGCACATGGGTGAGATTTGTTTCACTAGATGCTGGATGTCCGCAGTGGAAACGTCTGTTGCCAGTGCAGGCTGCACCTAGGGAAGGATGGGGAACTTCTCAGTGTAATACACCAGACTTATTTCAGCTGGCTGGTTCAGGAGGAGATGTTTTGTCCTCAGTGTGCCTGTGTCTCTCCACTGAGCCAGGGGTGCTTTGTAGGTGACTACCAGAGACTTCTGCAGGAGCAGGCTCAAGCTCAGTGTTAGGTCTTTTGTGATCGCCAGCTGCTGTAGGCGGTTTTGGCCATGGAATTAGCGTCATCTCAGTGAAAAAGTGCCATCTCCAGTCCCGTGTCCCTGCACCCCCTCCTCACCTCTGCCCCCTGAGCCAGGGAAAGGCAGGCAGGAGAGGGCAGGTCTCTGTGAAGTAGAGGTTGTGTGGCTGTACAGTGCCATCCCCTGCACATGATGCAGGGCTGATGCTGCAACATGCTTGGCAAATAAATGGAATTTAATTGATAGGTCTGCATTAATTTCTGAAGTATATTAGCAAAAATCTCAGTTACTTTAATCAAAAACAAAAAAAAAAAAACCAAACAAACTAGGACATACACAGTAAAATAGCATTGATGGAGCAAACATTTGATTCAAGGGGCCCTGCCCAGAAGCTAAGCCTTGGGCTCCTTTCTCTTCTCATCTGCACTTTGGATGATGTGTGCTTTTATCTGAGGGAGCCTGGAGATCACCCTCAACTAATTTTAGGCATTTGAAAGTTGAAGGAGTCTGGGCTGCTGCCCTTTGCCTTTACAGGCAAAGGGGATATCAGGAGCTTCAGTGATACACCTCAGCTGTCCCATTGCCTTCCTCCAAACCAGGATCAGAAGCTCTCAGGAGAGGTCCAAATCTTTCCACTAACCAGAGAGCCCCTGCAAAGTGGCAGGCTCAGATTTAGATGCTGAGTGGATGAATCTCACATTTTACTGGCAGCACACAGGACCCCAGAACAGACAGATCCCTGACCCCCTTGAGACTGTAGTTGCTTGCTGCTGAGAGCTGCTTTGGGAACAAGAGCAGCTAACTTTATTTTCCCTCCATTTCAAGTCTACCTCACACTGGGGTGGCCCAAACTCCTGGTTAGGCAGTGAAGAGCATCTACTCACACAAGCACACAGGCTCTGTTGCAAGCAACCATGCAAATTTAGCAGCTCAATATTGCCCTTCAACATTAGTTACCTCCTGCCAGACTCCTCCAGAAGAGCCTAGGGACCTGCTGTGGAGGTGTTGCAGCAGGTAACCCAGGCTTTTGAACTCGATGAGGAAGAACCAGCTTACCAGACTGCCCTGCTTTTTTGACGGAGAGCCTTTCCCTCCATGTGTTCCACTATGACTAATTACTTCACATGCAGGCTCTCTGCTCTTGCATCAGTGAAGATTAGCCAGCAGGGAGGCTCCCAGCCTTCCTTCTCAGCACCCACTCTTCAGCCCCAAATTCAGCTCTAAATTTAACCAGGATGACCCTCTTAGTTCATTAGATGCATCATGATTTTTACTACCAGGTTTAGATTCATCACCTGAAACGCTCCTATTTTCTTGACCATAAAAGCTGTATTACAGACATTGCTTTCCAGCTGAGTCTTGCATCAGCCTGATCTCAGTTCCCTTCAGGTACAGCCTCTGAAGCTCTCTGTCCACCACATATCTTCACTCAGTGGCTTTTATGAAACTCCTGTTAAAACTCAGACTGTGTGTGCATAAAAACGTGGTCAGGCTCTGCCACTCTTGTTACATGGGCTTGAGAAAGCTGGAGGTTGGGGAAAAAAGGGAATTTCTGTTGATTAAGGGACATAAAGGTGGGATACTGTATTCTGCTTAAGTTTTGAGACACAAAGCTTTGTATTTTCTTTTTGCATAATCTTGTATATATATGTACCATACCATTTAGACATATAATTGAAGAATCCATTTCGAAAACCAAAAGCTTTGCGATATACAAATTTCTGGATTATTGATTTGTACAAAATGTGAAATTACACACTCCAAGTGAGGAGTATATCTTCCTTTTGAAGAAGTTCAGTCTAATATTAAAACTCCAACAGAAGTATCAGCTCTGGTAGAAGCATTTTTCTGACACAAGAAGAAACACTCATGCTTCGGTTTGTTCCATTAAATGCTATTCTATACCTGATTTTAGCAGAAAGATTTGACATCTGCTTTTAGCTTGAAACCTTGAGGGAAGGTAATTTCAAAGCTCTATATGATTTTTTAAATTTTTTTTTTAAGTACTGTCATTTCTGGGAGGAGACAAAATATATATCCCAGGCAATCTCAATATAATTAACATGTATTCTTTCTGGTTTATGCATAAATATAAGCCTGTCTTTCCTCTTGTTATATAAATATAGGTACAGAAGTGCAAGTTACTGTTCTTTAGTAAGTCTGCCTTAACAAGGGCTAAACATATAAGCACATACTTGTGCAGCTTGACTCAAATCAACATCTCAGCCAGATCAGAAAGCCAAGTGCTCAAGCGGCTGCTGGTGTGAAGGTATTTGCACAGTGTGAACACTTCCACTGGTGGACGTAGCTTCATTGGCTTCACTAGAATTACACTCCTTCCCATCAGTGAAGGATCAAGCTGGAATAGCTCAGACCAGGCAGCCAGAAGCAAAGGCCAGCTTTGCTGGCCCTCCCTCCCACCCTGCAGCCCATCACTTAAACCTCCCGTGAGGTGTTGCTGGAGATGAAGGATGGGTGAAACTAGAAGCAGCATTGCTCATGCTCCTCCTCACTGCATTTCTCTGCACAAAATGCTTTTGTTGACCTGTGAAGACCTCTGTGCTCTGAAGCATGAAATCCATGAGCAGATCCCTCCAACACATCACAAAGCCTTTATTAGTGTTTACCAGTGACACAGATTACAGGAACCAAAGGCAATTAAATAACACCTAAATTGATCACAGACTCAAGAACTACAAGTCACATTTGGCAAGGCAAACTTCTCCGTACACTGGGTTGCTCAGATTATTATTACACCGTGAAAGAGGAATTTCCCTTACAAGTTTCTACATATTCAGGATATTATTATTAATTATTATTATTGTGTCTTTCAGACAGTTCCTTTGGCAAGAATTCCCAGTTTTTAAGCTTTTATTATATAAAAATATAACCAATTTTCATTATGTACAAACATTACATTACACAATGTACAGGTTAAAAACACTACAAAAAATGGCAGGCCATGGGTGAACCAAAAGAAAAAAAAAAAAACAATGTAAAAAATATGAAAAAAAAATTTAAATACTGCACATTTCATAAAAATTACATTAACTACAAAGAATTTTTCTTTGTTTGCAAATATCAAACAGTACTGATATGATTGGAAATCTTTCCCAACGACTTCATTTTTAAGGCACATCTTGCATATTTACACATACGACACGGGATCTGGTCAATAACTTAAAGGCTCTCAGGAGTGACCTAGTCATGTGTGCGCAGGGATGGGTGTACTTGGGCAGGGAGCATATTGGGCTACACCTTCTCAGCCTTTTCAGTCTGGGGGCCCAGGTATCTAGTCGACGGGGCTGGGTAGAGGGGGACCGCAATCTCCTGAAGGTCGGGGAGCCGTGCGGGGCGTGGCGGGGAGAGGAGCGTGATCGTCCGGTCAAAGTCCCTGTGCAGCACTTTCTCGTAGACGCTTTGAAGCCCCACTGTTTTGGGCAGCTGGGCTTGATAAAAGTTGTCCCTGCGAAGGGGATCCCTGGGCAAGGATGTGCTCTTGCAGAAGGTGGAGAGGGGTGCTGAAGGATGGGGAGAGGGGTGAGGGTTGGCTCGGCCGCAGGAGGGGCTCCAGCAGCGGTCCGAGTGGCCCAGGATCTTGCACTCGGCCGTGCATGCCCACAGACCTAAAGGGAGACAGAGAGGAGGAGAAACCTGTCATTACTGCAGGAATAAAACCACATCACTCATAATCCTCAGTTATCAGTCATGGGACGATTCAATGCACCGATGGTGGGAGCTGGGAGGTGATGCCCTACGGCATAACAAAAAACACGCTTGGGAAGGTTATGTCATTTTACCAGGGACACTCCTCACAGCCCTAACTTCAATGGATGCTTTTTGAAGAAGAAAAAAAAGCCCAATCCTGCAGTACTGCCAGCATCTGCTAATTTGTGCTGGGTACTCAGTGTGGAGAGGAACCAGCATCTAGCAGCCTGCTGCCGAGAGACAATTAGATGGGCAGTTTGAGCCACGCAGCATCAGGTTTCCCCCTCCAGCTGCCCTGCCTCATCACTGTGCCCCAGGAAAGGGTCCCTCCATCCACCACCCCATCTGCCTGTCCGTCTGTCTGGAGGGGCCAGCTGGGAGCCAGGGCTGAGCCCTTACCGTTCTGCATGTGTGTGATGAGATCTTTCTTCAGGGCATCTCCGCTGATATCTGAGTCGCTGTCGTTAAAATCGCTGTCGCCTTTGCCGCTGTCTTTGCCGCTGAACTTCTCTGCCTCCCGGCCAGAGATGGTGTTGAACGAGTGCCCCTTCCAAATGGCCACGGGGGGAGCAGGCTCCTTGCTGTAGCTCGGAGCAGCAGTGAAACCCTGCTGGGGTGGGGGGATCAAAGGAGAGGTGAGAGAGGGAAGTAGCAGAGGGTAAATCAACATCAGAAAGGCATTTCTCTGCAATTCACATCCACTGAGCCCCCTCCCACATGCTGAGCCCCTTCTTCGCAGCGCGGTCTTACCTCCCCGCTTGGTCCTCTGGGCTTCTTCTGACCCTCGTAGAGGCAAGCGCTGTCACTGCTGCTCTCAGCAGTGGAGATCTCTTCGGCAGCTGGAGATGGGTCGGGGCTGGTGAAAGAGGGCTTGCTGGGAAAGGTTCGTACCTCAAACACATTCCCCCTCTGGCTGCTCTCCTCCTGTCGGCCCTTCTCCAGGTGGGAGATGTCCATCTGGTCCTTCAAGGAAGTGTTGTTTTTGATCTCATTCCCCTTCTTGCGCCTGTTGCAGGTGGTGGCGATGGTGATTATAGCCACCAGGAGGAGGGTGCAGCTGCCCGCCAGGACGATGATCACGATCAGAGGGATGTCCCACTGCAAAGCCTTTCCGTCCCAGGAGCTGGGCTTGGCTATCTCCTGGATGCTGGAAGGAGCAGTGGCAGTCACCAGGAAGTTCACTGTGGCAGTCGTGGCCAGGGGTGGTCTGCCATTGTCTGTCACAGTGAGGATGACCTTGAACAGCTGTCCCAGCTCTTCAGAGAGGTCGCCCCTCAGCACGATGTCCCCAGTACTCGGGTTGATGGTGAAAAGGTCCTGCTGGGGCTCTTCCAGAAAGGCAAAGGTGAGCTCAGCATTGGCCCCATCATCTGCATCTCGAGCTTTGATCTGGGCCACCAGGGACTCACGGGAGGTCTTGCTGGACACGCCAATTTCCACCGTCCCGTTGGTGAGCACCGGGTGGATGATGACAGGAGGGTTGTCATTCTGGTCCACCATCCTCACTTTGACCAGGGTGCTGCTGGAGAGCTGCGGGGAGCCACCATCGGTGGCCTGGATCCTCAGATCCAACTGCTTGAGAATTTCATAGTTGAACGTCCTGAGGGCATAGATGGCCCCGGTGGCAGGGTCCACTGAGACATAGGTGGAGATAGGGGCCCCCATGACCTGTGTCTGGAGGAGCCGGTAGGTTACCTTACCGTTGTGGCCAAGATCGGGGTCACGGGCTACCACAGTGGTGATGTAGGCACCCGGGGGATTGTTCTCTGGCACAGCCACCTCGTAGAGGGGCTTGGAGAAGAGCGGCGCGTTGTCATTCTCATCGCTCACCCGCACCGTGTACTGGCGCACGGTCTTGAAGGGCGGCGAGCCCAGGTCCTCGGCCACCACAGTGAGGTTGTACTCGGGGATGCGCTCTCGGTCCAGCGCCGTCGTGGTGACAATCATGTAGCTGTCCTCGTAGGCGCGCTGCAAGGCGAAGTGGTCGTGGCCACGGAGGCTGCAGCGCACCTGCCCGTTGGCACCCGAGTCACGGTCTGAGGCGCTGACGAGGGCCACGAAGCTCTCGCTGGCCGCCGCCTCGCTGACGTATGCCACGCCGGCGGCGCT